CATTAACCCCCAACCTCCCCCCCCCCCACCCCACACACTCATGCTCCCATCCCCCTGTTGTCCATGTCCATTGGTTCGGCTTATATGCATGCATACAAGTCCTTTGGTTGATCTCTTCCCCTTACCCCGCCCTCCCCTACTTTCCTTCTGGGGATTGATAGTCTGATCACTGTTTCTCAGTCTTTGGGTCTGTCCCTTTTCATCAGTCTATTTTGTTCTCTATAATCCACAAATGAGTGAGATCATGTGGTATTTATCTTTCTCTGACTGGCTTATTTCACTTAGCATAATGCTCTCCAGTTCCATCCATGCTGTTGCAAAAGGCAAGAGTTCCTTTTTTTTACCGCAGCATAGTATTCCATTGTGTATATGTACCACAGTTTTCTAATCCATTCATCTACTGATGGGCACTTAGGCTGTTTCCAAATCTTAGCTATGGTGAATTGTGCTGCTATGAACATAGGGGTGCATATATCCTTTCTGATTGGTGTTTCTGGTTTCTTGGGATATATTCCTAGTAGTGGGATCACTGGGTCAAATGGGAGTTCCATTTTTAGTTTTTTGAGGTAGCTCCATACTGTTCTCCACAGTGGCTGCACCAGTCTGCTTTCCCACCAGCAGTGCAGAAGGGTTCCTTTTTCTCCACATCCTCTCCAACACTTGTTGTTTGTTGTTGATAGCCATTCTGACAGGTGTGAGATGATAACGCATTGTCGTTTTGATTTGCATCTCTGGTATAAGTAGTGACTTTGAGCATGTTTTCATATGTCTTTTGGCTTTCTGTATGTCCTCTTTCAAAAGTGTCTATCTAGGTCCGTTGCCCATTTTTTTATTGGGTTGTTTATCTTCCTTTTGTTAAGTTTCATGAGATCCCTATAAATGTTGAAAATTAAACCCTTATCAGTGGTATCATTGGCAAATATGTTCTCCCATGTAGTGGGTCTTCTTGTTGTTTTGTTGATGGTTTCCTTTGCTGTGCAAAAGCTTTTTATTTTGATGTAGTCCCATTTGTTTATTTGCTCTTTAGTTTCCATTGCCCTAGGAGCATTATCAGAGAAGAAATTCCTTCGGCATATGTTTGCAATTTCACTGCCTGTGGATTCCTCTAGTATTTTTATGGTTTCCCGTCTTACGTTTAAGTCTTTTATCCATTTTGAGTTTATTTTTGTGTATGGTGTGAGTTGGTGGTCTAGTTTCATCTTTTTGCATGTATCTGTCCAATTTTCCCGACACCATTTACTGAAGAGACTGTCTTGACTCCATCGTATGCTCTTGTCTTCTTTGTCGAATATTAATTGGGCATAGTGGTTTGGGTCGATTTCTGGGGTCTCTATTCTATTCCATTGATCTATCTGTCTGTTCTTGTGCCAGTACCAAGCTGTTTTAAGAACAGTGGCTTTGTAATACAGTTTGATATCTGGTATTGAGATCCCGCCTACTTTGTTCTTCTTTCTCAGGATTGCTGCAGCTATTCGGGGTCTTTTTTTTATTCCAGATGAATTTTTGGAACGTTTGTTCTAGATTTGTGAAATATGCCGCTGGCAATTTAATGGGGATTGCAGTGAATCTATAGATTGCTTTGGGTAGTATGGACATTTTGATGATGTTGATTCTACCAATCCATGAACACGGTATGTTCTTCCATCTGTTTATGTCTTCCTCTATCTCTTTATTCAGTGTCCTGTAGTTTTTTGCATAAAAGTCTTTTACCTCCTTAGTTAAGTTTATTCCTAGGTATTTTAATTTTTTTGGTGCAATGGTAAATGGGATTGCTTTTTTAGTTTCACTTTCTGTAAGTTCACTATTGGTGTAAAGAAATGCCATGGATTTCTTAGCATTAATTTTGAATCCTGCTACATTGCCTAATTCATTTATTAAGTCTAATAATTTTTTGATGGAGTCTTTAGGGTTCTCTATGTACAGTATCATGTCATCTGAAAATAAGGACAGTTTTACTTCTTCTTTTCCAATCTGGATGCCTTTTATTTCTTCTTCTTGTCTGATCGCAACGGCTAGTACTTCCAGTACTATGTTGAACAGGAGTGGTGAGAGGGGGCATCCCTGTCTTGTTCCTGTTTTTAGGGGGAATGGTTTTAGTTTTTGCCCATTGATTATGATGCTGGCTGTGGGTTTGTCATACATGGCTTTTATTATGTTGAGGTATGATCCCTCAATTCCTATCTTGCTGAGAGTTTTTATCAAGAAAGGGTGTTGGATTTTGTCAAATGCTTTTTCCACATCAATTGATATGACTATGTGGTTTTTTTCTCTCAATTTTTTTATGTGATGTATAACATTTATTGATTTGCGGATATTGTACCAATCTTGCATCCCTGGGATAAATCCTACTTGGTCATGTTGTATGATCTTTTTGATGTACTGCTGGATCCGATTTTCTAGGATTTTGTTGAGGATTTTGGCATCTATGTTCATGAGGGATATTGGCCTATAATTCTCTTTCATTGTATTGTCTTTATCTGGTTTTGGTATTAGGGTGATGCTGGTTTCATAGAATGAGCTGGGAGGTGTTCCTTCCTCTTGGATCTTCTGACATAGTCTGAGGAGGTTAGGTTTTAGGTCTTCCTTGAATGTTTGGTAAAACTCCCCTGTGAAGCCATCTGACCCCGGGCTTTTGTTTGCTGGAAGCTTTTTGATTACTGCTTTGATTTCCTCCATAGTTATTGGCCTATTGAGATTTTTAGACTCTTCCTGATTAAGTTTTGGAAGGTTGTATTTTTCTAGGAATATGTCCATTCCCTCCAGGTTGTCTAGTGTGTTGGAGCAGAGTTATTCATAGTATTTTCTAACAATCCTTTGTATTTCTATGGGGTCTGTTGTTATTTCTCCTCTTTAATTTCTGATTTTGTTTATTTGGGTCCTCTCTCTTTGTTTCTTGATGAGCCTGGCTAGAGGTGTATCAATCTTGTTTATCCTTTCAAAGAGCCAGCTCTTGGTTTTGTTGATCTTTTGTATTGTTTTTTTGGTCTCTATGTCGTTTATCTCCGCTCTGATCTTTGTTATTTCCTTCCTTCTGCTTACAGTGGGCTTTTTTTGTTGCTCTCTTTCTATATCTTTGACTTGTAGAGTTAGGTCATTTATTCTTATTGTTTCTTGTTTCTTGCAGTAGGCTTGTAGAGCTATGAACTTCCCTCTCAAGACTGCTTTCGCTGTGTCCCATAGGTTTTGGATTGTTGTGTTTTCATTGTCGTTTGTTGCCATGATGTTTTAATAAAAAACATATTTTAAAAGGTGCCTGAGGCCAGCCCATCCTTGCTGCTTGACACAGTCACTGCAGGGAAGAAACATCTGCACAGCATATGTTTCAAGGGACCTGGCGTATATGGCATACTGTTCTTAATATGTTTGCTCCCCCTCTTAGAGCTATGTGTTTTAACCAGGGCCACCTCCCTGAGAATGGTTGTTTCCCCAGGTGGGGATATTTCCCTGGAGTTGGGGTTGATGGGACTGGGGAGGGGATTGAATCAGTAAAACCCCCTAGTGTTACAGAAATACCATGTACTGCTTATGAAGAACTTGGACTAAGACTGTTGGCAAAAAATTTGGAACTTGTTGGGCCCACATCCCCAGGGATCTGCCCACCAAGAAAAGTACCAAAGCCAATACCCATGGAGACCCACCGACACAGAGCAGTCCCAGGGAAGACAACTAGCAAAAAGGATATAACCTTTACTGGGGCCATAAAGTAAGAACCTTGGAGTGGAGATAACAAACCAGCCCTAGCCTTTGGAATAGAATAGATAAGATTAAAATCAACAGAACTAGATGGAGATGGGATTTTTGGCAAAGGTCAGATAAGAAACTATGGACATGAAACAAGGAACTGTAGAAGGTCAAGGGAGGACCCAAAACATACTATTATGTCATGCTTGTAGAATCAAAGAGTATAAATACAGTTTTAACAGGACAATAAAGAGAGAACCTGGCTATGCTGATCAACTGAACGCTGCCTCTGTGTCCTTCATTCTTCACTGACTTCATCCACATCTTTGAGAACCCCTGGACCTGCTGGGGCTGGACCCCAGCAAAATGGAACTCATTATTACCTCTTTTTTTTATATACCTCTGATGAGAACTATATGAGCTTTTCAAGAATTTAAACAATAAACATGGCATGCCTCTGGGGAAAGAGGAAGGAAAATGGAGTTTGGGAATCAAAGGGATGAGTAATAAATGAAGCAAAAGAGCGTCCTTGCAAGGACAAACAATCATGAGCTTAGGAGTATGATTAACTCAGACCTTAGCACTTGAGGTCCCAAAAGCAAAAATGTACTGGAGACAAGAAAGAGGAAGGTCTTGGTAAGCCTCCTGTAGGCTGAAGAGGACGTTAGTTATGTCATGTGAGAAGCCCAGCAGTTCCTAGGGCTCTGGGTCTATGTCACCATAGCATCTATTCCAAAACTCTAGCCAAGACCACTGAGCAGTTGCTGGAAACTGCTGCTGACGGGTGTTGTGAAAATGCTTGCTGGCTGAGAGACAACACTTTTTCTTGATTCTTTCAGGAGATTAAGAGCACCTTTAAAAAACACTGCATTCAGAATGGCAGACTCTTCTCCAGCAAGTTAGCTGGTATGGTTGCCCAGCCTCCCACCTCCCTGCCCCGCTGTCGGTAAGAGCCTTTGATGCCAGACTGACACCCAGGCTGGTACCACCATTCCTTTTAACCTTGGCCAATCTGATAAGTGCAGAATGTATCTTTCCTTATTTATACCTCTTTGATTATTGGTGAGAAGAGAACATTGAGTCCTACTACAGATGCCATTTGGTTTCTGTCTGGTGCCCATTTTTTCTGTTGGGCCAATTGTGTAGGTAAGGATGTGGTTTAAATTCTACATTCTTGTGCCCCACTCACACCCCAAAAATACTTGCCACACTGCTATTGGCCTGTGCAGGCTTGGGCTCTTCCCTGCCAGGATAGCAAAAGGCTGCTGAGATGCATAAGGGCCTCAAACTCTCAGACTAGTGATCTACAGTCACTAATAATGACTGCACAGTTAAGGGCCTCCTACCTTTTCCCCCTTCTCCTAGCTGGCTTTGTGCAGACAAATCCCAAGCTGGAGAAGATGAAGGTGAGTGACTTCCAGAAAAAACAGGGCAGTGTTCTAATGGGAAATGCTTCTTCTTTTTTAAAAATTTATCTTTATCACCCTGGCCAGTTTTGCTCAGCGGTAAGAGTGTTGGCCTGTGGACTGAAGGGTCCCAGGTTCAGTTCCGTCAAGGGCACGTACCTCAGTTGCAAGTTCAATCCCTGGCCCTGGTTGCCTGGCAGGAGGCAACCAATTAAGGTATCTCTCTCATATCAGTCTCTCCCCCTCCTATCTACTCTCTCTAAAAATGAATGGGGAAAAATATCCTCAGGTAAGGATTAACCAAAAAGAATTATATATATAAATTTGAAAGTATTATAGATGTTCCCTTATTTCCCCATTGACCTCCTCCATTCCACACCCACCCCACCCTAGGCCTTCACCACACTATTGTCTGTGTCCATGGGTTATACCTATGTGCATATGAGTTCTTTGGTTAGAAGTTACTCTTTTGTCTTGGTCTCCACAATCCCACACTTCATTTCTTCTTATAAGACACCAACCTCTACTTTCTTCTTTTTTGTTGTTTCCCCTAAATGTTCCTTCTCTTCTCTTTGAATCTCTTCAAATCTAGAAACGAATGTTCCTTGAATGGAATATGGGTAGCAAAAAAAGAGCCTCCTTCCTATGGTCCTCTCTCCCCTCCTTCCTAGGTAGAGGCTGCCTGGGTCTCCCTCCAGCCCACTCAGTGTCTCCTCAGAGCTGGGTCTGAGGCATGGAAGAGCAACGGACATCAGAGTGGATGGGGACAAGGGTTTGGATGAGGGACTGTGTTGAGTTATCTCACACTGAGCTAAGCAGCAAAATCGTAAGGAGGACGAAAAAAATCATGTGGAAGCTTTTAGGGATGGATAAAGTCAGAGTCATCATGTTACCAAACACAATGGATCCCAGCCGCCTGTCACTACTTGAGCCAAATCAGCAGACACAGAGTTGAATCATGTATAAACATTTATTCCAATATTAGAGGCCCGGTACACAAAAATTTGTGCACTCGGGCAGGGGGGGTGGGGGGGGGCCTCAGCCCAGCCTGTGCCTTCTCGCAGTCTGGGACCCCTCGGGGGATGACCACCTGCTCTCTTAGGCCTGCTCCCCAGGGCATTGGGCCTAAGATGGCAATCAGACATCCCTCTGGCAGCCTGGCAGCCCTCAGGGGATGTCCACTTGCCAGCGGGGAGCAGACCTAAGCTGCAGTCAGACATCCTTAGCACTGCTAAGGAGGTAGGAGAGGCTCCCACCACCACCGCTGTACTTGCAGCCATCAGCCTGGCTTGTGGCTGAGAAGAGTTCCCCCTGTGGGAGCGCACTGACCACCAGGGGGCAGTTCCTGCATTGAGCATCTGCCCCCTGGTGGTCAGTGTGTGTCATAGTGACTACTCATTCCCAGTCTTTCTGCTGTTAGGGTCAGTTTGCATATTACCCTTTTACTATGTAGGATAGAAGCCTGGTGCACGGGTGGGGGCCAGCTGGTTTGCCCTGAAGGGTGTCCAAGATCAGGGTGGGGGTCCCGCTTGGGTGCCTGGCCAACCTGGGTGAGGGGCTGATGGCCGTTTGCAGCTGGTCACACCCCCTTCAGGGTGGGGGTCCCTGCTGAAGTGCCTGGCCAGCCTGGATGAGGGGCTGATAGCTGTTTTCAGGCTGGCCACACCCGCTTTAGGGTGGGGGTCCCCCCTGAGGTGTCTGGCCAGTCTGGATGAGGGACTGAGGGCTGTTTTCAGTCTGGCCAGCAACTGAAGCTCCCAGCCTCTCCTTTTTTTCTTTTTTCTTTTTTTTATTCTGGGATTTATTTACCTTCTATAATTGAAACTTTGTTGCTGTCACTGGAGCTGAGAGCCAGCTCCAGCTCTGAGGCCACGGCCTGCTGAAAACAGGTATCTGGGGTTTGTTTAGCTTCTATAATTGAAACTTTGTTGCTTACAGAGCTCAGAGCTGGGCGGTGGCAGGCGGGGAACCACTGGAGCAAGCAAGCCTCCTGCTCGCTTCAGCTATGTGACTGCCGGCCGCCATCTTGGTTTGTGGCTAATTTGCATATCACCCTGATTAGCCAGTGGGAAGCATAGTGAAGGTACAGTCAATTACCCTTTTTGTCTTTTATTAGATAGGAGGATTGCATGGGAGAGCAGTTGGTCACCCTGAAAATTCTGCTCTGACCCCTGCCTCCCAGCCAGTTGGCTGACTACATACAGGTGAGGGAGAAAGCTACATGCAGCTTTGAGCTGTGAGTTTAACAGGGAAAGGGCAGGGGAGAGCCTGTAGCCCGGCCTTCAGGAGCTCAAAGTCCAATGACAAGGTGGCTAATCTATGATTGCAAACATCTCAGCCTGTTCTGGGATGCTCAACGTTCCTGAGGCAAACTCCTGGAGCGGTCAGGGTACAGGCACAGCAACTAAATCAAAGTGTGTCCTGTCCTTGGTCTGCTTTTAAAGTGTATTTCTTTTTACAGCCTGTTTTTCTTCTTGCAACACATCCTCCAGTTTCCAAGTGTCTGTAAGAAAACCTCTTTTCTGTAGTCAGAGGAATCATCATTAGATAGCTGTGACTCTATTCCTGTTACATGCCCTTCCCCTATCAGTCAGAGAAACATGAAACATGTGGGAAGAATAACAGGAGGATTTAGAACCAGGAGCCTTGGATTCCAGCTTCATTTCTAATTCCAGTTCATGGCTGTTGCCTTGTTGAATAAATGTGTGCAGGGTAGTTCTGGCCAGTGTTGCTCAGTGGGTTGGAGCATTGTTCTGCATACTAAAATGTTGCAGGTTTGATCCACAGTATGGATGTTCTCTCCCACATAGATGTTTTTGTCTCTCTCTTCCCCTTCCCTTCTCTCTAAAAACAATAAGCATATCCTCAGGTGAGGATTAAAAATAATAATAATAATAAATGCTATATTCCTAAAAACTCTAAGCATCATCAGAGCCTTTGGTGAGATGTAATCTTTTTAAAAATACAAAAAAACACATGTATGGCCATGATGGGGTGGTTGAAGGAAGAATAGCAATGAACTAGGTGTGAATTAGATAACTTTGAGCAAAAGGAAATCATGAAGTTAGGGGCAAATGAATTCTCAGTCGCATGGTTGTTACCACTCTTGGCTTTGGGCAAATCGTTTCACCTCTTCTAGCTTCTGCTAGATATGGACTGCCATGAATATCAGGAGTAAGCTAGACTAAAAGGCATCTTCAAGTCTAGAGTTTCTCTAAGTCCCCACATCCTAGTAGCCAACATGCTTTTTAGTAATTTTCAAAGTGGGGGAGGGGGGAGCCAAATTATTTTAAATGTTTAGCTTGGAACCACGCAACATGGAAATAGAAATTAATGTTTTCATATAGTACTAGAGGCCCAGTGCACAAATTCATGCACAGGTGGGGTCCGGCTGGCCTGGCCCCAATTGGAAGATTGGGGCTAGGCCTATTGAGAGAAGGAGATGGCAGGAGGTTGGTCGGTGGGCCCACCCTGATTTTGGCTCAATCAGGGCCAGGCCAGCTGTGGGGAGGGGCTGAAGGAGGTTAGCCAGCCAGCCTGACCCCTATTGGGGAGGGGGGTTGATCAGGGGCGGTGTTGATCAGGGTGGTGGGGACCCATTGGGGGCGAGGCCGGTAGGGGGAGGGGCTTCAGGAGGTTGGCTGGCAGGCCCCGCCCCCTATTGGGGGACAATCAGGTTGGGGCCAGCCAGGGGGAGGGACTGCTGCCTGATTGTGGTGGGGTGGGCTGATCAGGTGTGGGGCCAGCTGGAGGAAAGGGCCGTGGGAGGTTCGCTGGCCCCAGTGGACATCATAGCGACTGGTCATTCAGGTCGTTATAGCATTCTGGTGGCTGTCTTTTTATATATATAGACTAGAGGCCCAGTGCACAAAAATTTGTGCACTCAGGGGGGTCCCTCAGCCCAGCCTGTGCCCTCTCGCAGTCTGGGACCCCTCGGAGGATGGCCACCTGCTGGCTTAGGCCTGCTCCCCAGGGCATTGGGCCTAAGCTGGCAGTCAGACATCCCTGGGGCAGCCCGGGAGCCCTCAGGGAATAACCACTTGCCAGCAGGGAGCAGACCTAAGCTGCAGTCAGACATCCTTAGCACTGCTGAGGAGGTGGGAGAGGCTCCCACAACCACCGCTGTACTGGCAGCCGTCAGCCTGGCTTGTGGCTGAGCAGAGCTCCCGCTGTGGGAGTGCACTGACCACCAGGGGGCAGCTCCTGCATTGAGTGTCTAGCCCTGGTGGTCAGTGTGTGTCATAGTGACCAGTCATTCTGCTGTTAGGGTCAATTTGCATATTACCCTTTTATTATTATAGAGGCCTGGTGCAAGGGTGGGGGCTAGCTGGTTTGCCCTGAAGGGTGTCCCAGATCAGGGTGGGTGTCCTGCTGGGGTGCCTGGCCAGCCTGGTTGAGGGGCTGAGGGCCGTTTTCAGGCTGGCCACACCCCATTCAGGGAGGGGGGTCTTTCTGGGGTGCCTGGCCAGCCTGGGTGAGGAGCTGATGGCTGTTTGCAGGCTGGCCAAGGCCCCCAGCGGGGAACCTCACCCCATGAAGGTGTGGCCAGCCTGGGTGAGGGGCTGAGAGACATTTTCAGGCTGGCCACAGCCCCTTCAAGATGGGGGTCCCCTCTGGGGTGCCTAGCCAGCCTGGGTGAGGGGCTGATGGCTATTTGTGGCTGGCCATGGCCCCCAGCCACCCAAATTCCCAGTGGAGGCTGGCTGGAAGCAGGTATCTGGGGTTTATTTATCTTCTATAATTGAAACTTTGTTGCCTTGAGTGGAGCTCAGAGCCAGCCAGGGCAGGTGGGAAGCTTGGCTTCCTCCATGCCGGGGCAACCAAGCCTCCTGCTTGCCCCAGCTCTGTGGCTGCCGGCCGCCATCTTTGTTGAGTTAATTTGCATATAGTCACTCTGATTGGCTTGTAGGCATGGCTTGGGCATAGCAAAGGTATGGTCAATTTACATGTTTCTCTTTTATTAAATTAGATTTCCTCATGCATGTCTGTTTTGCTAGTGCATGTACATGTGCATGCATTTAGGGAAAATTATAAAAACCTGCACAGAGAAAACACCTCTCTTCCAGGAGGAATGACTGTGTAGCGACAACCTGGTGTGCTGGTGATGGAAGCAATGGGCATATACAGTTGGGAATGTTAGGTTCTGTTTTGTGTTGCATCACTCCTTCTTTAGGTGAGGAAGATGGTGTTTGGCTAAAATCTTTTCTAGTCCATTGCATTTCCAGGAAATCTAATTTATTCTTAATTTAAGTCTGTATCTTTCTTATCACAGTTTTCTCCCCTTTCAGTTACCCTCTGCCTTTTTCTCACCATGTGGTTTGGTGGTTTCCTTTTCATACTTCCTATTTTATACTTCCTATATCCTGTGAGCAATTTGTAGCAACTTCCCCTCAGTATACTTTGGGTACTGCATGGACTTGCATTGACAGAGACAGGAGGAATGAGAAGATCTGCCTTGTTGAGGAATTTAACTTAAGAACAGGCAATGATAATTTCATGTAGAACTTATTTCTGATGTGTAGAACTCTGATGAAATATGTTCAGGAGATTTGGAGAGAAACAGGACAGATGGAGCTGATGATGACAGCAAGTGAGGTGAGGAGCGAAGTGTGTAGTGTGGTGGGTACTGCTAGCCAGACATATTTTAGTGAACTCTTCATCTTCTTTCTAAGGAACTACAAAAAGTTGGAGTTTTTATAGTATTGGCTTGTAAGATCATCATATGAATAAGAGAGTGACATGAGAGGGAAAATTATTCAAGGTAGAGATAACATTAGATTCTAGAATGTTAAACCTGGAAAGCCCCTTGAGGATCTGATAGTAATCTAGATGAATGTCTTCTTTCCCCATGGTGGAAACTGAGGGTCAAGGATGAGAACTGCCAAGGTTCACAAAGGAATTGAGAGTAGAGCTGACTTCTGATTCCACAAATCAAAGAGCCAGTGCTTTTCGCACTCCACCATGCTAATGGGCATGGTGAGAAGTCAGACGGCATGGGGACAGTAACAGAAGGAACCAAACCATTGTTAAGTACTGAAGCAATGAAAACCTTTCCTATGTTGAGAGAATCAAGGCAGGATATCTTCACTCTAGAGCAGTGGTTCTCAACCTTCCTAATGCCACAACCCTTTAATAACAGTTCTCCATGTTGTGGTGACCCCCAACCATAAAATTATTTTCGTTTCTACTTCATAACTGTAATTTTGCTACTGTTATGAATCATAATGTAAATATCTGATATGCAGGATGTATTTTCATTGTTACAAATTGAAATAATTATGCATAGTGATTAATCACAAAAACAATATGTAATTATGTGTGTTTTCTGATGGTCTTAGGCAACCCCTGTGAAAGGGTGGTTCAACCCCCAAAAGGGTCATGACCACAGGTTGAGAACTGCTGCTCTAGAGCAGGGGTCCTCAAACTACGGCCCGCGGGCCACATGCAAATACAAATATTGTATTTGTTCCCGTTTTGGTTTTTTTTACTTCAAAATAAGATATGTGCAGTGTGCATAGGAATTTGTTCATAGTTTTTTTTAAAAACTATAGTCCGGCCCTCCAACGGTCTGAGGGACAGTGAACTGGCCCCCTGTTTAAAAAGTTTGAGGACCCCTGCTCTAGAGCTATGAAGTAGCCTTATTCTCACAGAAACATGAAAGTCAATGTGCTTCTCTCTTTGGCCCTACATCCCAGGCCCGCTCATCCCAGCTCATGATTCTCTGGTCATTTTCATTCATCCAAGCATCTTGTGGTATCTAGTTTCTTTCAGGACAATATGAAAAGAGATTTGACTGTCTTTTGCTCAAAAAAAAAAAGTTGGCTTTCAAGTCACAAGAACTTTCAGTCTTGTCACTGACTTCTCATACAACTCTCGTTTGTGTCCTGGGTTTCAGCTAATACATGTATTCTCCATTGAGTGCAATGAAAGATTACACAGATGTTAGGAATTATTGTTATTTATGTTTATTGTTATTTATCATTTTTAAATCTTCCAGATGGATTGCTACAAAGATGTGAAAGGCACCATCTATGAATATGACGCCCTCACTCTTGATGGGAAGGAACACATTTCATTCAAGCAGTATGTGGGCAAGCATGTCCTTTTTGTTAATGTGGCCACCTATTGTGGTCTAACAGCTCAGTATCCTGGTAAGAATTTATATCTAAACCCCCTTGGGACTAAATTTCTCAGCTCAATATATTCTAAATCATAATTACATTTATGCTTTAATTGTAATTACGCATCAAAATAAATACTTATGATCAAGTGACTTCATTCCCCAATGTCAGGAGTCAGCAAACTATGGCCCACAGGTCAGATCTGGCCAGCCTGCTTCTATATACAAAAATGTACTGGAACACAGCCATGCCCATTCATTTACAGACTGCCTGTGGTTGATTTTATGCTACAAGGCAGAGTTGAAAGGTTTTTGTTGAATACTGGTGACAGAGACCATCTGGCTTGTAAATTCTAAAATATTTACTATTTGACTTTTACAGAGAAAGTTTGCTGATTCCCTCTCTATGTCCTGCCTATGCTTTGCTCCTGAGATTTCCAGGAGAATCAATATATATGAATTAGTAACCTCTCTGAAGATTCAAATGTACTTGGTAAATACAGGAGAGAGGATAAATATTTTTGAGAATTTTTCAGGATTTTAAAAGACAAAGAAAAGAGGGGAGTACTTACAAAATTTTTAAATTAATTTGATTGTTGAGAGTGTTACAGATGTTCCCCATTTTCTCCCTCTGCCCCCCTCCACTGGGTTTCCACCCCATCACAGGCTTTCACCTGTTATCTGTGTCCATGGACTGTGCATAAATGCACGTAAGTCTCTTAGTTAATCTCTTCCTGCCCTCCCTCCCACCTTGCCTCTGAGATCTATCAGTCTGTTCCATGCTTCTATATCTATGGTCCTATTTTGTTTGTCAGTTTATCTTGTTCATTATATTTCACATATAAGTGAGATCATGTGAGATATGTCTTTCTTTCTTCTTTCACTTAGCATAATTTTCTCCAGGTCCTTCCATGCTGTCTCAAAGGGTAAGACATCCTTCCTTTTTACTGCTGATAGTATTCAATGGTATAAATGTACCACAGCTTTTTTATCCACTCATCTGCTGATGGGCATTTGGTCTTTTTTCAGATCTTAGCTATAGTAAATTGTGCTGCTATGAACGTAGGGGTGCATATATTCTTTCTGGTTGATGTTTCAGGATTCTTAGGATATATTCCTAGCAGTGAAAATGCTGGGTCAAAGGAAGTTCTGTTTTTAATATTTTGTGGAAACTCCATACTGTTTTCTATAATGGCTGCACCTGTCTGTATTCCCACCAGCAGTACTAGGGTTCCCTTTTCTCCACATTTTCACCAGCACTTGTTTGTTGATTTATAAATGGTAGCCATTCTGACAGGTATGAAGAAATACCTCACTGTAGTTTTAATTTGCATTTCTTTGATGATTAGTGACATTGAGCATTTTTTTTTCATATGTCTATTGGCTATCTGTAGGTCCTCTTTGGAGAAGTGTTTATGCAGGTCCTTTGCTGATTTTCTAATTGGAAACTTACAACCAAAATCATACTCAATGAGAAAAAAATAAGTGTTTCCCCTAAGAACAGGAACAAGACAGGGATGTCCACTTTCATCACTCTTATTCAACATAGTATTGGAAGACTTAGCCACAACAATCAGACAAAAAGAAAAAAGAAAAAGCATCCAAATTAGAAAGGAGGAAGTAAAACTCTCATTATTTGCAGATGACATGATATTGTACAAAGAAAATCTTAAAGACTCCACTAAAAAACTAGATTTAATAAATGAATTTGGCAACATAGCAGGATACAAAATAAATAGCCAAAAATCGATGGCATATTTATACACCAATAATGAAATCTCAGGAAGAGAAACTAAAACAACAATCCCATTTACCACTGCAACACCAAAATAATAAAATACCTAAAAATAAACTAAACCAAGGAGATAAAATACCTGTACTCAGAAAATTACAGGACATTGAAAAAAAGAGATATAGGAAGATATAAATAAGTGGAAATGTATACTGTGTTCATGGATTGGAAAAATTAACATCATTAAAATGTCCATACTACCCAAAACAATCTATAGACTCAATGCAATCCCTATTAAAAGACCAATCACATAATTCACAGATCTAGAACATATATTCCAAAAATTTATATGAAACCCAAAAAGACCCCGAAGAGCCACAGCAATCTTGAGAAAGAATAAAGTTGGAGGAATCACAATACCAGATTTCAAGTTATACTACAAAGCCATTGTAATAAAAACAGCCTGGTACTGGCACAAGAACAGGCATGTAGATCAATGGAACAGAACAGGGAACCCAGAAATCAACCCAAGCCATTATGTTTAATTAATATTTGACAGAAGAGGCAAGAGCATACAGTGGAGTCACGACAGTCTCTTCAATAAATGGTGTTGGGAAAAGTGGGCAGATACATGGAAAAAAATGAAACTAGACCACCAATTTTCACCATACAAAAGAAATAAACTCAAAATGGATAAAAGACTTAAATGTAAGTTGTGAAACAATAAAAATCCTATAAGAAACCATAGGCAGCAACATCTCAGACATCTCACATAGCAGAATTTTTGCCAATACATCTCCTAGGGAGAGAGAAACAAAGAAAAAATAAACAAATTGGGCTACATCTTTTTTTAAATTATTCTTTATTGATTGAAGTATTACATATGTCTCCTTTTCCCCCCCCATTGACCTCTCCCCCGCCACTCCCACCCTCCAGAACATGCCCTCACCCCCCTAGTATCTATGTCTATGGATTATGCTTATATGCATGCATACATGTCCTTTGGTTGATCTCTTACTCCCTGTCCCAATCTCCTCTGCCTTCCTCTGAGGTTTGATGGTTTGCTCAATGATTCTGTCTCTGGATCTATTTTTGTTCATCTGTTTATGTTGTTCATCATATTCCACAAATGGGTGAGATATGTGATATTTATCTTTCTCCGACTAGCTTATTTCACTTAGCAAAATGCTCTCCATGTCCATCTGCACAGCAAAAGAAACCAGCACCAAATTGAAAAGAGAACCCACTGTATGAAAGAACATATTTGCCAATGTTACATTTGGTAAATGATAAATTTCCAAAACATATAAAGAACTCATACAGCTCAGCAAGAGGAGAAAAGGTATTTTATACTTAAAATTGCATTTAACTGGAGTGAAGTTTGGTAAAGGAGGACGCCAAAATAGAAGCAAATATTCCCTCTCCAACCTTGACAGCTCCTTCGATGTAGTTTTCTCTCTCTGTGAATTATGCAGAGAAGTCTTATATCTTTCTTATACTTTAGGCCATGTGATTTAAAAGCAATAAATAATGAAAATGATGGATTATATCAGAAACAGATGTATTTCTTTTATTGAAACTAATAACTTCATTTTTGTTTTTTATTAGGTTTTGAATGGGTAATACATTCAAAAATTTCACAATTCAAAAGGAATGAAAATATTTAGAATAAAAAGTTATTCCACCTCCTTCCTCTTACTCCAGATGACAATATTATCATGTTTACAAGATACAGGGTGGAGCAAAAGTAGGTTTACAATTGAGAGTACACAAAGCAAGAGTTTATTCTTGTATTATTATTATTATTATTTACTAACTAGAGGCCTGATGCACGAAATTCATGCAAGGGGCTTAGCCCTCGCAGCCCCAACTTCATCTGGAAGGTCGTCTAGGAGGTCATTTGGCTGTCAGGTCTAATTAGCATATTACACTTTTATTATTATAGATTATTACAGTATTTTCCACACAGACAACTAAAAACCTACTATTGCCCTACCCTGTATAATAGATCGATTCTTTTTTCTGCTCTTCCTCCACTGATGACTAATATAAATATTACTTTCCATGTTGTTTTTTAAAATTAATAAGGTGCTTTGGAGTTCAGGCATTTTCTCATTTTTTAAAAAACTCAATAAAATTCTATTGAACGTAATTCATTTTACCAGTTTAAAAGAACTTTAAAAACCAATTTATTCCGTTCCCACTATATATATAACAGATGAGTAAACTGAATATTTGCTTAAGGATTGGACAACTGGCTTCCTGATTTATTGTCTCTTTTTTCTGGAAGATGCGATGACCTATAGTGACTAATGACAAGAGGGAAGCATGCAGGGAAGTGCTGAGGAACCATGTGGAGACAGGAACGCAATCTCTAGAAAAATATATATAAATAAAAATAAATAAAAACACTAAGAGGAGATGCCAATTGGTTGAACTGAATCTAAGTGGGTCTAGCTAGTGTTTGCCAGGGGACTGAAGGCATCTAGCCCAAAATGGGTTAACAAAGAAGATGATTATAAAAGTCTGAGCAGACAAGTTGGCAAACTTCCTGGCAGTGGGAGAAGCAGGTGGGATCTTGCGTTTTGGCATACCAAAGAGGATTTTCGGTAGAATGCATGTTTACCATCCAATAATTGTAGAAGAACACAAGGAAGGGCAACTCGGAATTTCTCAGGTTCTCTTGGTCCCTGGCAGGGTGACCACACTCCAGCCAGGGTGACCAGCCTGTACACAGGAGAGAAGCCCTGTCACTGTCCACAACTTTTCCTTTAAAAAAGGAAATGCTACTCATTAACTAACCAAAAAAGACAAACTGATGAACAGTGATGTTTAAACCTAGCTTTGTTTAAAAATTACCTGATAAGCTTCTTAAAAAATTGTGGCAAAGAATCTTGGCTGGGTGGAGCATTGAATACTAAGGGGTTGTGGGTTCAATTCCGGTCAAGGCACATACCTAGCCTGTGATTATCTCAAGTCCAGCACATATGAGAGGCAACCAATTGATGTTTCTCTCCCTTCTTCCTAAAACAAATAAATAAATAGCCCTGACTGGTTTGGCTCAGTGGATAGAGCGTCAGCCTGCGGACTCAAGGGTCCCAGGTTCGATTCGGGTCAAGGCCATGTACCTTGGTTGTGGGCACATCCCCAGTGGGGAGTGTGCAGGAGGCAGCTGTTTGATGTTTCTAACTGTCTATCCCTTTCCCTTCCTCTCTGTAAAAAGTCAATAAAATATATTTTTAAAAAAATAAAACAAATAAACATACTCAGGTGAGGATTGAAAAAGAATTGTGCTAAAGAAAGACATAGCAAAATTTAGCACCTTAACCATTTTTAAGTGTACCACTCAATAGTATAAAACATTCACATTGTCGTAAAACAAATCTCCAGAAAGTTTCATCTTGCAAAACTGAAACTCTACTTTCATTCAACAGCCTCCCTCTTCCTTCTTCTACTCAGGCCCTCAAAACCACCATTCTAATTCTGTTTCTATAAATTTAACTACTGTATAAATCTCATGTAAGTGAAATCACACAATATTGGTCTTTTTATGATTAGTTTATGTTACTTAACAAATTCTCTTCAAGCTTCATCCATGGTGCAGCATATGACACAATTTCCTTCCTTTTTAAGGTTGAATAATATTCCTTTGTATGAATATACCATATTTGTTTATTCTTCATTCATCAATGGACATTTAGGTTGTTTCCACCTCTTGACTCATGAATAGTGCTGCTAAGGACATGGGTACAAATATCTCATTGAGACTGCTTTCAATTATTTGCATATATACATAAAAGATGAATTGCTAGATCACTGTTAGTTCCTTTTCTTTCTTTCTTCTTCTTTTTTTTTTTTTTTTTTTGAGGAACCTCCATTCTACTTTCCATAGTGGTTGCATGATTTTACAGTCCTATCAGCAGTGATCTTTTGGGGAATGGAACCTGAGGGCTCTGCAATGGGGCCTTGTGGGCCTGCAGCTGACTCTGATGTGCTGCATATTTGGAAAAAACTATATTTTAATAAAGGGCTTTGAATGCATGTCTGAAGATTCGGTATCTGACTTTAGCCTTTCTAATTTAGAGAATTTCTTCTCCCTTGGGCCTCTGTTTCCTTCTCTATGAAATGGAATCTTTTTTTTTAAGTGCTTTTATTCTACATAAATTACTACCATAGGCTAATATTTAAAAAGCAAATAAATTGGACAGATGCAGGACAAAAATCTGTTCACCCACTACAAAAGGTGAAGTTTTTTTAAAAAAATTACAATAAATGCAAAAGTATTTGATGCATGCAGTAGCCTTAAATGAAAAAGCATTGATTCCCATTGTTCCACAAGAAAAATAAAACCACACAGAGAAACCCACATTATCTTACTGTACTCCATGTTAAAATGCATCATATTGGGTTTGTTTATAACAGCACAGAATTCCAAAAGTCAAAATGAAATAAAGCAGGTATTTTAAAGATTTAAGAGCAGTTATCAAAAATAAATTGCATTTTTTTCAAGATACAGAAATGCTGCTATGATGGCTGGGAGCCCAGTAATCTTTCAATAGCCGCATTGATATCACCTCCTGTTGTGATCAGGGCTTGCAAGTTTGCTTCACGGTTCAAAAATCCCATTGCACTGAGTTGTTCCAGTTGTTGCTGAAATCTGACTTCTGGACTCTGTAGCTGAGGATTTACTGCAGCGAGAGCCTGCAGCATTTGTTGGATAAACTGTTGGTGTCCAGGTTCCATGGTTCCTTCCGTGGGTCTTGGGTTTTCACTAGGGGCAGAGCTAGAGCCATTGGTTCCTGAAGAGCCGCCAGTGCTTCCTAATGTCCCCAGTGAAATGGAATCTTTCTCTACACAAGGCAAAGTCTCTGGCCAGGCTGCCATCTTGCCCCATCTCTACCACAGAACTGAACACACTTCAGGAGGAGCTGAAGCCCTTTGGCCTCGTTGTATTGGGCTTTCCCTGCAATCAATTTGGAAAGCAAGAACCAGGTGAAAACTTGGAGATCCTTCCGGGATTGAAGTAAGTACTGCTCAAACCATGTAGGAGGCCTCTGTCCACCTTCCTTCCACCTCCAGAGACCCTCCCATATGTGTGACTTACTGGATGGTGCTGGACTAATAGGCTCAGCAGCATCTGCAAACTGACCTGCCTGGTGTGCAGTGAGACCTGGCAGGACTTGGAGGGGCAGGAGCATTGAAACAGCTGGTTCAGAAACAATGTAGAGCACAGGGACAGACTGCAGGATAGAGAAAAACTAAGTGAATTGGGGAGGCCAAACAAAAATATGGCCTTACCTTTCCTTCCCAGCCTGTCTAGTATATGTCCACCTCTTTCTTCCCTTTCCCATGACATCCAATTTTGATGTTCCATCATAACTTTCCTGGTAACATTATGGCTTATTACAGGTATGTCCGTCCAGGGGGAGGATATGTACCTAATTTCCAGCTTTTTGAGAAAGGTGATGTGAATGGTGAAAAAGAACAGAAGGTTTTCACCTTTTTGAAGGTGAGTGAATGAATGACATAAGCCTCTTCTTCCCTAATATGTCTAGCATAGCATTGGTGTAGAAATAGACCAAGGGCTCCTGTCCAGAGGTGGGATTGGGCTCTGAGGGAAATCTCCAGATCAGTATGGAGGCTAGAGTTTATACTGTTAGTATCTGTGGGGCTTTGTATGGTGGAAAAAGATGTAAAATAGCAGCTTTTCCTGGAACCACCCTCTCTTGCTCATTGACGTTCATTCATTCATTCATTCAGAGTGCATTTATTGACTGCCTGCTATCTATAAGGTAGCTTACTAAATACTAAGAATATGAAGATGAGTAAGACACAGTGCCTATCCCTTAACAAGCTCACTCTAGAGGGGAGACATAGAAATCAACAGGTGAAACACAACTTAACAACTTTTATGAAACAACAACTTTTAGATTCAGAGAACATGTGAGCTGAAAGGCTCCCTAATGATCACCAATGTTCATTGTTCTTAAATATCAGACTGTGAGCCAAAACCAAATCCTCAGTAAATTGAAGGAACTAGAACAGTATAAGGAGAGTTTTATAAACTCAAATGACTTATAGGGCTGCTCTGCAATTTATTCTTAAAATAATCTTTTTTTTTATAAAATCAAATGATAAAATAATGATTGTTTTTTAATTTCTTATTTGATAAAACAAAATGCTGGTAACTCGCTATATTGGCCCCAAAAAGGTATCTTTGAAATGATCAAGACCTGAGAAACCACATTCTAATCCAAGCTACTAGCAGAAAAAGAATCCAAAGGCTAGAGATGTGACATATCTTACTCATGGCGATTTTGTGATGAGGTCATGGGTGGAAACATAAAGAAGAAGCCCACTTTCTATAACATCATAAACATTCTTGGTAGTAGGTATGGTGGTAATTCACATGATTTATGAAGAACCACAGGAAACTAAAATACCTAAGTGTAGGAGGGGTTGTATCTCCTATGGGTGAAATAGCCTGGGTCATCCAGAAGTAAAAAGGATGTTGTCATTTCTCTTCTTTTTCATCTCTCCGCTTCAGCACTCCTGTCCTCACCCCTCTGAGCTCTTGGGATCCTTCAAATATATCTCCTGGGAGCCCATAAAGGTACAGGACATTCGCTGGAATTTTGAAAAGTTCCTGGTGGGGCCTGATGGAGTCCCTGTCATGCGCTGGTTCCATCGGGCTCCAGTCAGCGCAGTCAAGTCAGATATCCTGCTCTACCTGAAGCAGTTCAAGACTAAATAGGAAGGCCAGGCTGGGCAGGAACTATCCTGCTTCTCACCTGAAGACCTGTTCAAAATCCACCTTTTTACTACACTCCCCTTTTAAACAGCCTCCCCTTGACTAAATCACCTCTTACTGTTAAAGTTCTCATTCTCTACAAGTAGCTTTATATTTGGAAGACTACTGCTCATTCTCCTTGCAAAGGTATGTGAGTGAAAAGCAAAAGAATGAAAACCTGCCCTAGTCATTTTGGCTTAGTGGATAGAGCGTCAGCCTTTGCACGGAAGGGTCCCAGGTTCAATTCCAGTCAAGGGCACATGCCTGGGTTTTGGAGTTGTTCCCCAGTAGGGAGTGTGGGAAGCAGCCAATCAATGATTCTCTCTCATCATTGATGTTTTTCTCTCTCTCCCTCTCCCTTCCTCTCTGAAAGCAATTTTTAAAAAAAAAGTAATGAAAATCTTATATCCTCAGGTCTCTGTTGAAACTTAAAAATTCATATCCATTAAAGAAAAGTCATCATTCCATCAGAAAGGTTTAGTCAACCACAATATCCTGAAGAAGAACGGTTAATAGTTCTGTTTTTGTGTTGTTGTTTTTGCATTCTGACTCCCTCTTCTCTCTCCACCCTAAAAGTGAGGGAATAGCCATGGAGGTTAGAGTCATACAGTCTAGGCTCCACTTCATACATTTTCCTCTCCTGGTAAAATGTATTGCCAATTTCTAACTTTTTTTGGATAAATCTTCATTCATGCTACTCTTCCCCCAAATGGCCTGTGATTCTCCAGTAGAAGCCCTAAGAGTGAGAACAGGAAATCACCCTACATGAAAGGAAGGGCATCTCCATGATAGTGAGACCCAGAGCATCTCTCTAATTTGGACCCTACAAAACTTCTTATTGTCTGATCTTTAGTTCATTCAGGTTATGATGCCTGGGCCAGGCACACTTTGATTCTTCAGTTTCAGAACTAGCCCTGCCACTGTCTCCAATAAAATATTTTTTACTGCATCTGTGATCGCTGTGTGGGTTTTAAATTCCTATCTTACCTTGCTTCTCTTTCTCACTCTATCACAAATGTTGTATTACTCAAATTACCTGAACCCCTCAGGTAAAACAGAAAGACTTATCCTTCCAGGCCCTTGGAAGGTTGCCAGCTGATGGCTCTCAGTTGCATCCCTCCTTAGGAGTTGCCTTAGGTAAATGGCATGTCTCCTTTCCAGGAACAGCCTGTGTCCAACGTAAACTGTGAGGGCTAAAACGCCAGTAATTAACTTCTTGATCTAGGACAACTCTGAGGGCCCATCCAGGCAGTAGAGGCCACAGGGGATAGGTTGATACCTCTTTTGTACTTGCTGCAGTCCAATTTTTCCCTCTGACAAAGTGGCTTCTCTTCTTTGCCCTCAGGTATTGACCCTTAGGTAACACCCCAGTAAACTTTTTGAATAAAAATTTACCTCAGAGTCTTTCCAGGAAGCCTAAAGGAAGACACTAAGATGAAATTTTTAAAGCTGACTTATCTACCATCTGATTGGCAATGAGGGAATGGGTGGCATACAAATAGCCATTATCAAAAAGTAGCAGTACAATTATGAAAACTTCTGCCAAGCCTGTTCTCAAATGGCACACTGAGGTATGAACTTAGTATGAGCTGTGTCCATGCCTTCATTTCCTTTTAAATTGGCAAGGCCCAGAGAGTAGTAATGGATGCTCTTTGGAAGAGACTCAACTCACAATCTCATCATGTTCAAGAGCTATTCCAAAAAATTTAAGAGGAAGGAACACTTCCAAGCTCATTCTATGAAGCCAACATTACTCTAATATCAAAACCAGATAAAGACAACACAAAGAAAATTACAGGCGAATATCCCTTATGAACATACTAGTAGCCCGGTGCATAAAATTTGTGCACTGGGGTGGGGGGAGGGAGGGGCCCCTCAGTCTGGCCTTCACCCTCTCCAATCTGAGACCTCTCAGGGAATATCCGACTGCCTGTTTGTGCCCACACTTGAAGCAGGGGGTCCCCGGGGGTGAGGCCGACGGAGTCCTAACGAAGCATGCCCGACTCCGGAGACAGGTTCAAGACGCAGTCTAAACTTTATTGTTTAGTACAGAGACATATATAACTTTCTGGACCAATCAGAAGTTTACAGCATCCTTAGGGCAACCAATGGTAGGAAAGTTAGGGTACTATGTAGGGGGCTCTAGGGGGCTTACTCAGGCGGGCGTTGCCACTTCCCAGTGTGCCGAGGAAGCTTGTATAGGCGGAGTGCGCTCACGCCATTGCATCCGCCACTGCACTGAGATAAATCTCCTGAGCTCTTCCCACATCTCCCCCTTCTTTTCTTATTAGCGCCTGCTGGACGTGTATAATCATGGCTTGCTGGGCACTTAGCTTATTGAACATGTTGTATAAACAGCGAAATAATACTATTCCTATGACGAATTCTACTATCATGACTCCCCAAATGAGGAGGTTGGCTGGGTTTAACCAGGAAGTTAGAAGACTGAGGGCATCACTTAAGAAACTAAACTCAACGGGTTTCACTCAGGTATTATTGCATGAGGTGCTAGGTATATCCACCCTTGTCCTGGGGCAATCCCATTATCTAGAGTCCATTTAAGGAGGTTAGGGCTACTGCTATCAGCCCATACTGTCCCGTTCTATGGCAATGAGACCGGTTCCGCTCCATCACAGGGTAAGCCCACAGAGCAGTCAGACATTTGGACAGTGGGGAATTGTAGGCTGTCGGCGCTGACAGGCATGAGCAACCCTGGATGAGGTATGGCTGCCCATACATGTTGTGCTCGCTCCTGAGAGTTCACTGTTATGATGGCATATATTAATAGGAATAATGTCCCTTCTGATGGATTGCCTTCTGGTGCCATGCGTGCAGCTTGGTCCTGTAGATTTTTGATGTCTTCCCAGGTAATGTTGTGGGCTCGCCAATGTCTTGGTCGTCTCCGCCTCTGGGCTGGTTGTCCTCTATGTCCAGGTCCTCCATTTCCTCTACTGGAGGTGATGGTGATGGTGGTCTACGGCTCATCGCTGGTGGTGCAGGGTTTGATGTTACGGGCAGGAATCCACATGGGATTTTTCTCACCTTCTGGAAAAACACAAGCAAACCCTCTCCCTTGGGTTAAGAGTGGGTCGGGGCCCTTCCAAGCCCTGGTTAGTGGATCTCTCCACCGGACCAAGGGGAGAGGTGTTGGAATGTCTCTGAGACCTCCCCAATGTTTGAAAATGGGAGGAAGACCGTCAGGGGCAAAATGAAAATAATTGAGAGTTAATAAGGCCTGTTGTAATAGTTGTTGGGGCGTGCCTGTATTTCCCCCTTCTTTTTCTTTTTGAATCTGGGTTTTTAGTTCTTTGTTCTGTTGTTCTACTATGGCTTGTCCCTGTGGGTTGTATGGTATGCCAGTAACGTGCTTGATGTTATGTTTCGTGGGGAATTGCTGAAAAGCCTCGCTAGTGTAGTGGGAGCTATTATCTGTTTTAATTTTTCAAGGGAAGCCTAATGTTAAAAATGCTCCCTTGAGGGTTGCTATTGCGTGGCGAGTCTTTTCACCTGTGTGAGCCTGAGCATACGTGGCTCCAGAGCAAGTGTCAATGATTACATGTACATATTTGAGCCTACCGAAGCTAGGAATATGGGTCACATTTGCTTGCCATAAGGCATTGAGTTGGAGCCCCCGGGGGTTGACCCCTTGTGGTTGGAGGGGGCCTAAAGGCAATAGGGGGCACAGGTTCTGCATGCCTGTATGAGATGCTTGCAGCTAGAGAGGGTTAAATGAGGAAATAGCTTGTTCATGCTAGTTGCCTCTGTCTTTGGATTGTTTTTCCTCTTCATGGCTGGAGCATTCTTGATAATTCCTCTCTGTTGCAGGAATCCACATGGTCTTGGAGTTTTCTGAAAATATATAAATGTATTCTCGACCAAAGATTAATAAAGGAAACTTTATTTGGAGTTTTATTTATTTTTGCTTAAATGAATTTTCTTTGGCTTATGTTAACACCACATAGGTTTTTTATGGGTGTCTTGTTGTTAGCAGTATAAATGAAAAATTTTTTTAGATGTAAATTAGTTACAGGATATCTTTCTTTACATGGTATTTTTTCACTATTCTCCCTTTTTTGATTTAATTATTAGGAAGATTTTTTGGAAAATTTATAATGCAGTCTAGATAACTTTAAATCTTAATTTATTGCATAAAAATATGACTGCTTTAGATTTATAGCATGTTTTACCACGAACTGAAAATTTTGGTTAATACTTCTTGAGCCAATTTTTAATTAATCTGAAAACTTGACTACTATTTTACTGTCAAATTTAATACTTTAACAACAATCTTAGTTTACACTGTAAATATTAATGGAAAGGATTATTTTGCATTCTTTGAGAAGGCCTTGAGCATTCCTGATGTTAGGCTGGATTTAGATATAGGGAAGCTGCTTTTAACCAAGTCTCTGTTATTTGGGAGATTTATGGTACTAGCCATTATGAGGCTTCAACCCTCAGCATGAACAGAGAGCTTTTGTTGTTTTAAATTATATCTTAAAATCCTACTGCTGTATTTTAAGAAATATTATATAAAATAACTGTTTTGCCCTTTCTTAGAGGCAAAAACTTAAGACATATATTTATTAATTTTTATTTGATAAAGCTTTCCATGTGATTTTAAGCACATTAAATTGGCTTTATTTAAAAAGTCCTTTAAGAAGAGAGAATAAACTTTTGAAAATATTTCAGGGCCTATGAAATATCTCAAAGTCATTCCTTGGTTATAGTACTTTTTATAATTATTAAGAGATATCAATTAAATTAAAACTGACAAGATTTTCTTTCTATACTTTAGGCATTTAGTTACTACAATTATAATTTTTCCCAATTTAATTAGAACTTTAAACTCTTAGCTGGCAAGTTAAACATTTAGCATTTCTTTAGATTAATAAGAGTAGGTGTTTTCTTTCTTGTGTAATCTTAGGTATATTGTATTAGTCAAATTTAGTATTGGAAGGGTTAAA